ATGAAAGACTGATGCAAAGTACCTATTTAATAGGTTGGCTTTTTCCTGGGCGTCAGTTGTCCCATCTGGTTCAGCAGGGGTCCAATGTTGCCCTTGCTTTTCCTCCGGCTCCCCACATATCTAAAAAAGGACTTTTTATTGTCCTTGATGCTCGAAGCTAGTTGGAGTTCAGTTGCAGCCTTGGCTTTCCTGGTTTGCTCCCTGCAGGACCGGACCAGTGCAGAATATTGTTCCTTGGAGGTGAATCCCATCCTTTGTAGGCCTTTCTTTTTAGCCTCAGGAGGTCTGCTAGATCCCTGGAGAGCCAGGGGGGCTGCTGTGCCCTCCTGCTGCCTTTCCTCCGAGATGGGATCGAATTAGCGTGTGCATTATGAAAATGTTTTCATTGCAATGTTTAGATCATGAAGTTACTTTTTCTCTTCATTTGTCATGCTACCACATAACCCTTTTATATTTTTTAAATTTCCTGAAAAGGGGAGAGATCACTCAAATGCTGTGTGTCTTTTTTATTAATCTATTGTAATAGATCATTTGAATAATTAAATTTAAAATCTCTTTGCTAACGGACTACAAGGCCCATACAGGACGTTGATGTTTCAGCAAGAATACCATAAGCCCCCCATAGTTCCTGCAGAGCCTGTGCACTGTAACAGTGTATAGAAACTCTATGCATGAATTTCAGCACTGGCACAACACATCACTTTACCAGAATGAGAGGAGTATATGAGAAATCAGTGGCAGGTTTCTGTGATTTAATCATGGGAGGGCAATGTGAGTAGTATACATAAACAAAATGATCTGCTCTTCTGTGAGAATCTTTGTTTAAAAAAACAAACAGATAAGATTACAGCATTTCTGTTATAGTAGGGGTAGACAAAATAGAGCCCATGGGCTGCATCCAGCTCACCAAGGGATTCTATCCAGTCTGCAATGAATCTGTGGCCCCACCTGGCCCAGGCATGGGAAACAGCCTGGGCCATGGCACGTGCAGCCAGTCCCACCACCCCCAAGGCATGTAGTGGGATGGGGGCAGCGCAGTGACCAGACTTGGCTCCCTGCATGTTCCTGCCCACAATCCCAGTCCTGACCTCACCCACCCATCCCACACCTGGCCACCACTCACCACCTGCGCATAGCACCATCCCACCTGGCCATGCATGCCCTGCCCACGGGGGTCTAGGGCTGGTCTCCTTGGAGACCCTGCCTGCCCACCCACTCCATCTGTTGCCTCTGGTAATGGGTGCAGGATGGACAGCCCTGGGGATGGATAGGATTAATTGCACCCTCCCCACCATGCTGAGCCAAGTCAGCACGCTGCCCCCTTGCTTCCTGGCCTGCAACAGCACACCAAAACTCCTTAAATAGTTGACCCCAAGGAAGGAAAACCTAATGGCCTGACCTACCAGTTCTTCATAATCCATGTGAGTTTGGAGGATTTCTTGGAGAAAGTCATCCACAAAAAGACTATGACTTGATCAGCTTTGGGCACCTTGTGGCTCTGTCCTGCGTCCCTAGCAGTTTTACTGCATTAGAGTTGTTAGAGCCAACACTTCTAGCTCTTATCCCTAAAACCCCTGTTTAAAGTGTTTCTCGTGGCCTATAGGGCACTAAGATAGCATGTTTTGCTAGGTACAAGGGTAGCAGATGCTTATCAATTCTACCCTATGTCCTCCCTAGCTATTGATCCTGTGACTCACAGAGAACCCTCCTTGGGGTCGGAAGAAAGGGGTACAGTGCCACAGGGATGATGATCCTTGTCCTCTTCCTCTTCCTTACCTTATGTTCATGTAAAAGCTATGGGTATGATTGACCCCTAAGTAAAAGAAATATTGTCATGATAGTAATTTGTTTTGCAGTTAAAACAATTTTAATCTTTACTTTAAAATTTCCCCCATGTTCCTGTAATATAAACATTACATCAGTGTACCAACTGAGGTTCCCATTTCCTGGGAGTTCTGGTGGTTTAAAGGGTCATATTCTTGGAATCACTCCACTCCAGTACACTATTCTCTCCTGGCTTGAGAATTAATGTCCCTTTTAACCCCTTCAGCCTTGCAGTTTCTATAGTTGCCACCAGATATATTATGTATCATAGTACTTAGGGTCAAAAGGGACCTAAACAGATCATCAAGTCTGACCCCCTGCCTTGGGCAGAAACAGGTGCCGGGGTCATATCACCCCAGCCAAATATCTGTCCAGCCTCCTCTTGAAGACCCCCAAAGTAGGAGAGAGTACCACCTCACTTGGGAGCCCATTCCAGAGCCTGGCAGCCCTAACTGTAAAGTAATGTCTCCTGATGTCCAGCCTGAACCTTCTGTAGCCAGTATTCCTAGTAACCCCAGGTGGTGCCTGGGGGAACAGAGCCTCCCCCAATTCTCGCTGGTGATCTTGAATAGAAGATCCAGTGATATGTGCTTTCATGAATGGTAGGGGAGGTGTGCAGAAGATGTGAAGATGACAGTAAGATCACTATTAAGATGTTATCTACACCATGAAAAATATGAAAATCCCTGTTGGCACATGAGAACTCAAACTTGAAACTGACAGGACTGATCTTGTTATCAAAAATGAGTAAACGTAAAAAGTATAGTAAGTAGCAGAAAATATTTTTCAAGTTCTTTTCATTTAGTAATAAGAGTATAACAGAAACTACTCAGTATTTTTTTTAAGTATCTTGTACCAGGGCTGTCCAGCTTCTAAGCAGCTGGGAGCATCATACTACAAGGTCCTCACCCCATGGGCCTGCTGTGGCTGCAACTGTGTGGGTGGCCTCTCTTGCCCCCTTCTCCCCCCCCCTCCCTCCACCATGTGCATGAGCAGGTCCCTCCTTTCACCCTGCCTGCTACATGGCAGCATAGCCAGCATTTGACCTACAGCTCACTAGTTGTGGGCTTCCCCACTGCACAATGCTCTGGGTTTCCCCAGCACTGTGTGCTGTACCACATTACATTACACCACCCTCTGGGGCAAGCACAGGAATTGGAAGCCAGAGGAAGAAAGGTGAAACCCAGAGACACCAAGTGCAGCAGCAGCAGCCAGGGGAATGGCAACTTGTTGGGAGCTGAAGGGCTGCATGCAGCTCCCAGGCTTCCAATTGGATGGCCCTGTCTTGCACAGCAATGTCCCTTACAAACAGGAAATTGTGACTTGCCAGTGTATAGTCTATGTCTAATATCAAGAAGTCATTTAAATTATAAGAGTACTGATTCTTACAATTTAAGTTCCAGTCTTGTTTCTTTTAAACCATTTAAGCCATGGGAAGTCTTACTGTATAAGAGGGGAGAGGTAAAAGCCAGTGATCCATCATGATATATTACAGACTATGTGATGCTAAAATCTCATGCTTATTTTTTTTTCTATTTGCAGTTGGCAGGTGAAGAACAGAAATGGTGGTTGAAATTCATAGATTATGGATATCATTCACAGTAAGTAAAGTGATTCCAAGCAACATTATTAGAAGCTTTTGTTGACATTAATTTTGAGAATAAATTTTTAATTTTAATTAAGGTATTACTAAAATTACTATTACATGATTCCAAATGAATAACAGAGCTCACTTCTGACATATCTACAATATAAGCTATGAATTATCAACACTAACCCCCTAAATCTGTAATAGTAACACTAACTTGGAGCTTTTTCTTCAAAGTATTTTAAAATATTGACCCAGCCCTGCAAATATGGCCAGGGTTTTAATATCTTAAAAGTATTAATGGATTATTAGAACCCCTGAATGATTGAACTCTCATCCTAACAAGCAAAGCTCAAACCACATTAAAATAATTGAGAACAGAAAATGTAGGCTCTTATATGTTTCACTGGTCATGATAATAAATGAACAGCTGCTGAGGAGTCAGACTACATACTACTCTCTTAAGTAGAGATTACACTCTTATCCTATCCTGAGCAAGGGCAGAGCTCCTGTAGCACATTCCTCTGCCAGATTGTTTTGGGCAGTAGATCTAGGACTATTTCTACAGGTCCCTTGATCTTACCACCCACTTTCCCATATGCTGGTCCTCTCTCCAGACTTCTTGCCTATCAATGCATGGACAGCTCCCTGGAGTACAGTTGCATGTGGAAGCTCCTGGCACTATCTGTCTCCCAAGCAGCAGAGCTGCAGTGGTTCTCCTGCCATCAGAATCCTTCATGCCCAGGATTTTCACCTCAAAGAGCACATTTTGTCAGAGGTTGACTTTGAAATGTTTGTGTCTAGTTTACAGTTGCGCCCACGTTTCTATGATCGATTCTGGAGGGATTGTTTGTATGTTTCTAAAAGGAGCTGGTATAGAGGTAAGCTTGTTACTTCATTATATATATTAAAAAATACTAGCTGTCTAGAAATTTTATATTGAATGTAGGAAGTATGATCTGGTTTGGTTTCTGGCAGCCCATTTCTCCATATAAGGAACCTTGGTTTTAATTAATGAAATAAAGTAGATGGAGGAGTAGAGAATTTTGTGCAAGGTTATTAGCCTGTTTAAGATGAACTAAAATAAAATAAACTAACAAATAAAAATCTACTTGTGCTGGTCAAATGTTTGTATGCAACTCAAACTCTACATTCTGGTACTGTAATACCTCAGTATCTGCTACTGAGGTATTACAGTAACTTGCAAATGCAGATGTGAATCTGGTTTAACTGAGGGCTTGTACAGGAACAAGTGCATCAAGCAACTAAAAAGCTCATAAAGGAATTTCACATTTCCTTTAGTCAGCTTTACTGTATACTTGGAAAAGCTAACCCATTGTTCACCAATAATGTCCCTTCTCTATATTCACCTACCCCCTAAACCCAATTCCTCTGCAGATTTGTATGCTGGTCACCTTGCCTCTTTTGGTCTCTGTTAGTGGGCAGCCTCTCCTCAAAACTTATTCTTCAAGTTCTGTGAAATATAATGGGCCTGATTAAATGCCTGTTTAAATCACTGAGATGGAAATTGTTTATTCATTAGGCACCGGGTCATGCTCGGTGGGCCTGGTTGCAAAGCTTCTACTGTTCTTAATAAAATTGTATTCAACATCTTGTCCATTAAGGACAATGAGACCATTTGGAGAGAGGTGCTGATGGACGTGAACAAGGATTTCAAAATCTGGCTGTCTTGTTTTGTGGATATCTTACGCAATGTACTTTCTTAGGCCATGTACAAAATACTCTGTATTTCTGTTGTATTTTGTAGTTGCATTAGACTGGAAAAGGACTGTTTCCTATCATAAATATAAATAGTGTATGAAAACGCAAGTGCCGATAAAATGTATAATTTATTTATTATTGCCACTATTGTAATATAAATAATCATGCTAATAATTCTGTGTACTGTATTAACTTGAATATAAGATGACCCTGATTGTATGACCCCCAATAATTGGATTCTGTATCTAGAAAATTTTATAAATTGGTTATAACTTTCCAAGGATAGAATGTGATTATTGAAGGTTTGCCTTGAATTTGTCCCTCTCTTACTTCTACAGCAGAGAAAATAAATCCGAGGGGAGTCATTGGCCTCTTTGCCCTCTGCCTCACCCCCAGCTTTTTCTCCCTACAGCCCTCCTCCCCTTCCTTTCTCTCAGACCCTGTTCTCCCTGCGGACATGGAAGTGAGGAGCAAATTTTTAAAAAATTAATCTTGAAATAAACATGGCTGTTGTAATTTGCATATAGTACCCATAGACTTAATTCATCCAGAATTGACACACATTACCTTTTTTGAAACTGCTGCAAATTTTAGCAGAGGTACTCCTTAAACATGTTTTTAAATAGCACTTTGGCTGCTGCTTTTTAATACAAACTATAAATTATATTAGTCTAAAGCCAAAAGGCTCGTGATTTACCATATATAGGGTTTGAGTCCTAGTAGAATTAACAGCATTTCAAGCCATGGTGACCCCACAGCTCAGCACTGCTCAGTATATATGTGTACTACAGATACTCTTCTCCCCCATCCACCCCCCCACAAAGATCTATGTGCCAATTAGCTCCCACTCATGACTGGAACCTGGTGTTCTTCTCATGAGTCCTGGGATCCTCCAAAAACATATATGCAGGTGAGGCATAGGGCAACCTGGTCCAACTTCACTTCGTGGACAACTGGTCATATATGCCAGGCTGAGAGAGGGGACAAGAAAGGGATTCTGGGTGAACTGTTTGGTGCCTGTTTCATGATGCTTGCCAGACATTTAAGGCTGGTAAAGAAACAGGATTCATTAGAAATGGGAAATTAAAAGGCAGCTAAGTTGTGGGAGTGAAGGGGAAGTAAAAATGTATTTGGTGTAGTGGCTCACCATGACGTGGGAAACAGTCTGTACTCAGGAGGATGGTACTCAGTGGGCACTATTATAGCATGTTTGCCCAATATAGGCCATAACAGTCAGACTCCACAGTCAAGGACTGTATTAAAATGGGACTAAGTGAAATATAGTGGTGCTACAGGAAGACAAAAGAGGACAACGGGAAAGAAATGACAAACCTTATCTGGTGGAGAGGGGTCTGGCATAGACTTTTTAGGGGCAAGCCCTCTGCGGGGGGCAGTGGGTGGGGTACAGGTATGGGTGTGCGGGCATGCGGACACATGGTGTAAACTGTGTAGCAGGTTTTTAGTGTGGCCGCTTGGCAGGGTGTTGGAAGTAAAGATTGATTGACTTATTTATATTTTTTGGGGTGGGGGTTGCAAAAAATATAGATAGTCATGCTCAGTGTAACAGTTTAACAATAACTACATTTAAAAAAATCGTCTTCCTTGTATGTGAATGCAAGATGAGGCTTTTTTTCCCCATGCTGACTGTGGGGAAATAATAAGTAAATATGGTATTTGTATTTCTACAGACTACCCAACAGACTGTAATTTGAAACTGCCCTTCATTTGTGAAAAATATAATGCATCCTTACTGGAGAAACATGATCCACAATATCGCCCAACAAAGGGAGGCTGTCCTAAAGACTGGATTCAGTTTCAGAACAAGGTAAGGGGAAAATAAAAGGCAAACATTTATTACTGGTAGCCAGGTTGTAACCATATTGGTTTAGATGAAAAAGCAATCAGGGTGCTTTGACAGAGGTGATGTCTTTAATTAAATCAACAAGATTTTTGCAAAAAAAAAAATTTTAATTTCAAGCTTTTGAGCACAAACACCTTTCATCAGACATTGGAGAAAAGATTGTAAAAGTTCTCCTAGGTAGAAACTAAAGTTCATATTTCATAGGATTTCACAAAAGAGTCACTAGATGGAAAAAAAATACCTTAACGTTTATGATTTGCATTTCAGAGTACTGCTTTTTAAGAATAAAGGTTAAAATCAGTTTGGTTATAGTTTGGCCGAAGAAGTATCAGTGTGTCTTAATCTTAGAAAATCAGAAGTGATCATGATGTTTACTTGTGAAATCAAAGCCTCTGAAACATGAAGTACACTTTTTCAAGTTTTAGCTGTTACTTTGTAACTCTCCAAAGCAAAGAAACTTCTTTTTCCGTGTAGCTAAAACTGGTGTGTAGTAGGGCTGTGCGAAGTTTCGGGTGCTGATTCAATTTGGAGAAGATTCAGCCCAACTCGGTGGCTGAATCTCTGAGTCCGAATTGAATCAGGGGACCAATAAAAAGGTCCGAATCGATTCGAAGCTCTTTGAATTGATTCGGAGAACTTCAATGATTTGGGCAGACCCCACCTGCTACGGCAGGGAGCTGGAGCTGGACTTGGAGCTTGGAAGTAGGGGGTGGGGGAGGTGACCGTGGAGGGACCCCTGCCAGGCCCTGTCCCCTGCCTACTCCCCCCGACCCCCACCTGCCCCAGTTCCTGGTGCTTTAATAAAAAGCCCCTACTCAGTGGGTGCTGCCGGGCAGGGGGGGGGCAATCCCTGCTGC